TCTCTCTCTCTCTCTCTCTCTCTCTCTCTCTCTCTCTCTCTCTCTCTCTATCTAATTTTTTGGTACCAGGGATTGAACTTGGATCCTTGCTCTTGGGAGGCAGGCGGTGGCCCCACTGAGCCGAATCCCAGCCCATGGGAAGGTGATATCTTAAGGAGATAACAGAGCAAGAACAGAGCTCTTGTCAGGGAGCTGCGCGATGAAGGCAAACTTTGAAGTAGGGCCCCTGAAAGGCCCAGAAAGATCTCCTGAGAAAGCTTTCCTGCTACACCAGTGTTTTAAAGGAACAGACAGGAGTGCTTTTCCCCATCTCATCTTTTCTCCCCGACCCTATAAAGCTGAAAAGAAAGGAAGAACAAAACAACAGCGTTGACAGGATACTGGGGACAGAAGCTAAAGGACAAGGGAAGGGCAGACTCCCTGCCTCCTCCTGTCATCTCCACGCTGCATAGGAGAGCTGAGCTCAGGAGAGAGCTGGGTGTGAAGCTGAACCCTTACCCCGGGCTCACCTTAGCATTTTACTACCTGCAAGTGAGTCTTCAGTATCAAAATGAAACTTGGCTTTAAAATCATAAATGACCAGAAAACTATTGATACCTCACAGGGCTTCACCTGGAAGCAGAAAGGCTATGATTTTCCTTGTGACCTGCTGCAAAGAATATCCACTCCAGAGCCAGAAGGTGCTGGTCCCCGACTTTCTACTCTCCTGTTATTGTCTCCTTCTCATTTTTCTTCCTCTCTCTTCGTTTGTTCCCCAAGCCTCTTGTCTCTCCACAGAGAAGCCAGAAAACAGCGAACCTGCATTTCTCAGGTTTCGGAAAACTGGAGGGCAGCAGGCCTTGGATCAGAAGCTCAGGAGTCTCTCTGCCCCTGAGGAGCTGGACTTACAGATTGGAACAGATGGGGAGCAAAATGAAGATGAGAAAAGGAACGGGCGGGGACCTACCTACACCTAAGCCCGAGACTGATTTCCCCATCCTGGGCTGGCTCAGGCTGGGCTGGTGGGGACGCCTGTGACTCTGAGTGAGGTCTCTCACCTCGCCTCCTGTTCTGCCTCTCCTGGTCACAGCAGCCTTGCACCACTTGTCCTGAGTCCCCGGAGTCACTGTCTGACTGGTGAAGATCAGTGCTAAATTCTAGAAAGACTCACCTCCGGATGGTGACGGAATCTCCGAAGTTACTGGATCTCGACTCTGAGGCCTTCTCGTACTTAGCAGGGCGGTAGTTGGAGACCGGAAGCACTTCTGGGGACTTCCCTAACTGGACTCTTCCTCCGAGGACAGCTAAGAATGCCAGGCTGTGTTCAGCTCCTCCGACTAAAACCTCCGTCCCTTGGGCGATCATCCCTGAAGAGCTTCTCTCTAGACACGCGGAAGCGTTCACATCCTCGTCTTGATGAGGCGAGCGGGGGAATAACAGGCAGGCTTGCTTTCTTATTTGTTAGCCTTATCTTCAGGCGCTCTCCCTCCTGTGATTTCCATTGATGTTCAGACCGAGTGAGCTGTTTGCTGTGTGTGTTCTGTCCCCAGATGAAAGTATTCCGAGTTCCTTCTCTGTTCTCTCCAGTGCCTAGCAGAGGGGAGCGCTCATGAAACTCTGCCGGTGACCAGGGCCCCGAAGAGAAGCCATCCCTAGCCAGGCGACAGACACTGGCGTGGGTGTTGGCATTGGAGGGGGTGGGATCCAGGGGTTCAGCACTGCAGCTCTAAGATGCAAGGGAAGGAAGTAAACTCTGGGTTTATAATACTTACAGGAAACATTACAGTGGCAATGAGTAGTTCATAACCCATCCAGGAGTCTGGAAAAACAGGCCCTGGAATGGAGAGCTGCACAGACCCAGCTCAAAGCAGAATTTTTCCTCAGTGCTCTCTCATGCCTTATAATGTGGTGCCGTCATTTCTCACCCAAACCGAGAGCATGCGTCCCCTCGTCCTCAGGAAGAACTTCAAACTATGGGATAACTTTATTTGTGACGTGCATTCATGACCAGTATTTACAACAAAAGCGCAACAGGAGAAAGGAAAGTCAAATCTATCCATCATCTATAATCTATCTGGTCACAGCTAGGAAAAATGTTTTTCATTCTTTCTCCTTCTTTGGTAACTCAGCCATGAGGGATATTCATGACTCACTTCTTCGGTTACTGTTTTGTTATGGGTCTTCTAGAAAGCAGATCCTGAGACAAGAGTTTAGAGTTGAGCTTTGGATAATCACAGAGTTATTCTCCTCCTGACCAGAACTAAATCCGGGCCATGTGAGACTGACCTCCTCCTGATGAGGACTCGTGGCGGGGCTCCGGTCTCACCTGGGATGGTATGGCGAGAATGTTAGCCGCACAGAGTGTTAGCTCCAGAATCTTCCTTTCTGTAATTGTCCCCAAGGCTTTGATTGCTGTTCTTTGTCTCCCTTGTCCATCACTTTCGATGCCCTCACACTTACCTTGCACATTGACCTGGGGTGTTTGCCCAAGACCCAGCTATTTCCATGAGGGATATGAATTCTTGCTACCCTGACCCTACTGGATTGCACTTGTGGTAATTACTTATCACTGCCTTTACATCAAAGTTAGGGATCACTCTGACTCAGTATTTCAGAAATAGTTTGCTTGTCACTGGTTGTGAGTGAGAGAAAGGCCACTTGTGCTGCCCACCCAGGGCTGCGTGAATTGTGCATTTAGCTACAAGAGATGTGTACTGTTTACGTGAAGTGGGTTCAAGGACTCTAATGCACAGGATGTTGTTCCCCACTTGGAGCTTAGTTTTATCAGATGATTCCATCATTCTCTCTGTCGTGAACCACGTGGTGGACGGAACGTTCTACGTCATTCCTCCTTTGTGACAGCTTCCTTCTTTGGCTTGAGAGGGGCCCTTGATCCTACGCAATTTGTGTGGGAGGCCTTGTGTCTTCATCACTTCCTCATTGCTGAGCAAAATAGCCAAGGCCCACAGTTTAAAGGAGGAGAGGTTTATTTTGGCTCGTGCTTTAGAAGTTTTAGGCTGTGTTTGGCAGGCATAAAAAATGAGAGCTGCACAACAGAGGGCTGGGCAGAGGACAGCTGCTCACATCACGGCGGCCAGAAAGCAGGGGAGGGAGGGAGGAGCCAAGCAGAAGACAGACGGTTCTGGGTCACTCCTCCAGCAACCCACCTGCCTCTTCAGGTCCAGACGAAAGGCAGCGGTGGCACCCCGTGGTCCCATCCTCTTCCCAGAGCCCTGCCAGTGAACACCTGAGGCCGGGGGGTGGGGGACACATCTGGATTTAAACCACGACACGGCAATGCCGGGCCAGGCCTTCTGTGTGGACTCCACTGTGCCTGCAGAGCCCTGTAGCTGAGCCAGGCGGGGTACATCAGCGCGCCCGAGAGCTGCTTTCTCTCCAGAGCTCTGCTCTTTGTGCGGTTCTAGGAATGTAGTTAGAAGAACTTACATGAAATCGGCAAAGCAGGAATTCAGCAGGAGCCGTTCTTCAGAGATGCACAGCGGCAGACAGAGACGCAGCTGCGCAGCATGGTCCGAGTGCCGTGCTCTGTACCCCACCTGCCAGACCTTGCTGGGTGACAGCACATTCCAAGGGCGTGTGGGGTCAGGGGCAGCGGAGCATCCCAGGAGCAGGTGCAGGCAGAAAGAGGATGGCCATCTGTGCAGAATTTATAGCAGGGACACAGAGGACAAAAGCCAGTCACCACTCACTGTCACGGAGCTCACACACTGCTACCAAAGTCAGTTTTAAGTGAACGCCCTTTCCTACCAGGGCAGAGCACGCTCATGGCTTCTGCTTTTACAGCACTCCTCACACCCCTCTGCACCACTGAGGCGAACGTTCCACAGAAGCACGAAAAATGTGCTTCATTTAAAAATGGCTGCATAATGTACAGTTTCTTGATTCTTATACGAAAGGGTCATCAGATTACTTCTGTGTTTCCCACTTACAGATAATGGAGAACTGAAATAGCTCTCTATATTTTCATACATCTTTGCAAATATTTCTTTAGGACAGACACTTAAATGTGATATTTGCAGAGGCTGCTGGAGTAGGGAGGAGGGAGTTCTGGGAACTCGTGATCTGTAGGCACTAAATTACAGCGTAGAGTAGGAAGCTCCGGTGTGGTGTTACACCTAGTGATATAGGTGACAGTTATGTGTTGTGTCTCTCAAAAAGCTAAAAGAAAGGACTTTGAATGTTTCTACCGCAGAGAAATGATGGATGTGTGCATAGGTATATTTAACATGGTGTAAACATTGTACAATGTATGTATGTATATATATATATATATATCACATAGTAGCTCATTAATATGTGCATTTTTGTTACATATCAATTAAAATAAACTTGTAAAAATGTGTCAAATTTGTAAAAATAAAGATAAAGCTATCAATAAAAATACAATTGCAGAGCTGGGGATTTAGCTCAGTGGTGCCTCTGCCTGCCTTGCAAGCATAAGGTTCCA